GAGGGCAGGGGAAGGGGGAAAAATAAGAACCAAGAGAGATTATGTAAAGGTGCAAATTTCCAATGATGAATGTCATTATATTGTACACCTAAAATGTACCAATAAAAGGATAAAAAAATGATAACAATAGTTGATACAGTGTGTACCATTATTTTCAAAATAGTTACTCAGGGTACAAGACACAGAAAAAGATTCTTTTACAAAGAAAAAGCACACATAATAGCATAAAACTTTCTTTTCAATAAACTAAGAAACTAGTAGTATGAAACAAATTAGCATATATATTGAACTATTTTTGAAATAGGATACATAATTTGGGGAATTATTTGAACTATACATATTTGAGTTTCTCACATAAGAGAACCCATGTGATATTCAAGCTTGTGTGTCTGACTTGTTTCACTTAACATTATGTTCTCAAGTTGCATCCATTTATCTCTCTATAAATGCAAATTTATCTTTTTTTTTTGAGACAGGGTTTCTTTATGTAGTTCAGGCTAGCTTTAAACTCACTATGTATGGGCTGGGGATTTAGCTCAGTGGTTTCACCGCCTGCTGCGCAAGCGCAAAGACCCGAGTTCGATCCCCGATACCAAAAAAAAAAAACAATGCAATAAACTCACTATGTAGCCCAGGGTGGCATCAAACTCACAGTGATCCTCCTGCCTCTGCCTCTCGAGTGTTGGGATTACGGGCGTACACCACCACACTTGGCCTAAGTTTATCTTTCTTTATGACAGAGTAGCACTCCATTGTGTCTAAATATCACATTTTCCTTATCCATTCATCAGCTGATGGATACATATGCAGCCTCCAACATTTAGCTAGTATAAACTGTGCTGCTATAAACATAGGTGTGCACGTATCCCTGTAACATGATGATTTAAACTCTTTTGGGAAGATACTTAGAAGGGGGTTAACTGGGTCAAACAGGATTTCTATTTTTATCTTTTTGAGGTATCCCCACACTGATTTCCATAGCAGTTGTACTAGTTTCATTCCCTCCAACACTGTGGAAGAGTTACTTTTTCTTCAGCATTTGTTATTATTAGATTTTTTGATGATGGGATTCTTTCTGGGGTAAAATGTTTTCTCAAAATAGTTTCAATTTCATTTCTCTGATGGCCAACAATGTTGAACATTTTTTCATGTATTTATTCTCTCAAGCTTTTAAAAACCTTTTTTAAAACATTATTTCTAAGAAGATCAACCTAGTGTAACTGACCACAACAGAGTCTGAGGATCCAAAGTAACTGTACCATTTACTTAAACCTCTGAGGGTTCATTTGCCTCTGTAAATTCCATCACACCTCAAGTTTCACATGATGGATGTGCTCCACGAATCTTGTGAGACAGTGGAATCATAATTAAAACTTCAAAGGAGACAATATTCTTTCTTCATTTTTATAGTACTAAGGAGTGAAACCAGGGCCTTTACACTGAGCTACATCTCCAGCCCTTTTTTTAAAGTTGAGACAGAGTCTCATTAAGTTACTAGGTTGCCCAGACTGAGCTCAAACTTGCCTCTCAGAGTGCTGGGATTATAGGCATACGTGCCACCATACCCAGCTGGAGACAATATTTAAATAAACTTCTGTTGAATCATAATTTTATAAAAAGGGTCAATACTTCCATTTTTGTTTTTAAATTTGGCTTTTTGGTGCTGAAGTGTAGCTCAGTGGTAAAGCAGTAGCATGCACAAGGCCCTGGATTCAATTCCCAGCACTGAATGTAAGTGTTAACCCTCATCTCCAAAACCCTGTTCTGTTTTTTGGTCAGATTCCTATTTCTAAAATCCTAAGCCCATGCAAGCAAACTGGACACAGAGATGAGGCTAATATATTTAGTCTCTGGCATTTCCAGGGATATTAAAAAGCAAAAAAGCAAAATACATGGGTTGTTTTGTCAATTCCAGGTTTTAATACATTAACTACAGTGAATAATAAAAGATGTAAGTACTGACTATAGTAACAATTAAATAATATACATCAAATACCACTAGATATACCAATGCAGGTTAAGCTAATTTGCAATTATACATCTGTTCTCTAAAGCCCCCAAAATCTTCTTTCAACTTCAATTTTTCTGATTTTCTTATGAATAAAGGAAGAAACACGGCTACTCACAGATAAAGTGGGAATGGCAAGAGTATGTATATGTACTGAAGATGTCACCACGTACCCTGGCACTTTGTCGGTTCACTTTCTTCTCTTCATCAGGAAGCGGAGGCATTGGGTAAGGGTATTTTCTGCTGGAGGCAATAGACCCAGTTGATGAGGAAGGAGACTTGGCAGGAGATAGAGTCCTGAGACGTTGAGAACATATGAAATAAATATCACAAAGTTGCCAAATATTCTTTTCAAATTATCTGAAAAGCAGCTTTACAACAAACCCTCTGACTTCTACTTTCATAAGCTTCTACCGCAAAGCATTAACTACTAGGAAAATAACTCTCACTCCCAAAACTGTACTGCTGTAATTTTAGCTTCCTAAATCCATGAATACAATGGATTATTTAAATGTTACTATATAGAATCACACTTTTCAACTAGAAAGCCAACAATGAAGTATTCTCTAGAAGAGATAAAAAGCTAATATAGAAAAAAATAAAATTATTCTAAGAGTTCATAATGGAAATTAAGTCCACAGCATATTAACATTCTGTCTTATTTTTACCACTTAAAAATGTTTTTAAGTATAATACTTCCAATTAAGATCTTAAAATACATTACCATTGATATATTCATTAGTTGCTAAACCACATACTAGTTTACACAAAACTCATGCATTTGGAGGCCAGTGTGTTAGTTGTGAGAGAACAAAGGCAAATACAAGGATTTTAATAATAAATTAGTAAACATGCAAGCAGTAAAAAGTGCAGTTTCAGCCAAACAAAGTCTGATGAGAACATACAGAAATGGTCTGATACCTCTCTACAGTCAGCATTACTGGGGAAGCAGTGGTGTGTTGTATTGAACTTGCCTAATACATGTGTCTGTAGGATAATATATGTGACTGCAGTGGGCATGCTAGAAGAGGCCATGCCTGTTGCTAACTTGTCTTTAAGAGCGGGGAAAACAAAGCTAAGTGAAAATATCCACTCAGAACATATCAATGATTTCAACAAATATCCCTACACACCCTTGACTCCTTAATTCCTAGTACAAGGTGGTAAAAACTCACATCAAGAACTGGCTCCATTGCCAGTCCTTACTGCAGTTCTGTACTATGACTGAGTCACCCTGGAAAGGAGATAAGGAGGGGAATCGGCATCGAGTAGAGCAAGGTCTACTGCCTGCCCTGTTTCTGGTTCTCATCTATTTAATACCCCGGCTCTGCTTTGCCATCATTTTCAAACTCATTGCTATTTTAGACACTGAATTTAAGCTAAAGTTTGCAAATCACTCTTCCTACCAACTCTGAGATCCAAATCTAGGGTAGTTCTATAAGAATATTAAGTACTCCAAATGCTCTAAATTTCTATCAAAACAACACACATTGAATATTTTCCTAATTCAGAAATTAATCTCCTTTACTTTAGTAACCCATTTAAAAAGGACTAAGATCTCCTATGTATAAAATGAGGGCAAGTTTGTGCATTTAAGTACTCAGTTTGTCTTTCTAAAGTAAAGGCTATTACCGTGGGTTCAGCATTTTAGCCTAAACATTACTGGTAAGAAATCCAGTAATAGATTCTGGATCAGGAAAGCTAGCTCCTAGAAAGGTTCAGGAAAGCCAGTTAGGTACCCAAACACATAACCAAATCTCATTTACTTTGCTAACCAAGTTCTCTTTTTAATTTGCTGCGATGTGTGTGCCTATCACACACAGGAGCTGCTTGCTCACAGCTTCATGGCCATGTCAGCCTCAGTGTAGCCACAGGTCCCAGTGAGCCGCTATGTACAAGTGCAAACCCATTCTGGTGAGCAGCGCGGGAAGGCCAGTCTTGCCTGGCACATCCTTCCTTAAGCAAAGCCAATAATGAGTGAAAACAAAAACAGGAGGTATTCTCTGGGACCCCAAAGAAACTGCACTATACTGCCTCTTACATTGACACACTCATTAATTGACAATTCCGGCGCTAAAAGGAAGATGGAAGTTGGGGAGACAGGTCCTGGTGGGGGGATGAAGGCTACAGCAGGATTACAAAAAAGAGTAGAGAACAGGGCAGGGTGAATTAGTTTAAGGAAAATAGGCTCATTGTTTCTCATAAATGTCTAAGGAGGACATTCAGTTCCAATACGGCTTTCACTTACAGCCAGGCAGCAGCCTAGCCCATTCACTTACAAAGTAAAGGGAATCTTTGCATAAATGTGAGCCATTATCATTTTTAAAAATCATAAATCAGCTGTAGTAGCTATTAAATTAGAATTACACAATAAAGGCATGCTCTTGTGCACATGGGCTGCGGTGCATCTTGAGATAGTTCAGACTTTCTGGGCTTCTACTTTTGCAGATAGGCCTCTAAGCCAATCTCAGTTCAGCTCTGCCACCCAGGACAACTAAAAGCAGACAGTCACATGAAGGACACACGGCCACTCCTCATTCACTTGTGTTCATGTGTGACTTTTAAGCCAGGACTTAAGGGTCTCAGATAGGACTGAAGCATCAACATCCATCCTAATACTTTTAAGAAAGTATAGTAAAATAAAGAGAAACTCACTGAGATCAGACAGCCACCTGCAATTCTGGCTCTAACACTACTATTCTGCTACCTCAAGTAATTCTTTGTGCCTCCATTTCCTCCAAGCACAGCAAAGGAATAATAACAATGCCAACATCTCATGATGTGAGACATAAAGATTACAGTGGGCACTTGATAACATGACACTTGCTATTATTAATCTACTTTCAGAGTCACTACATGAAAATAGAAATATAAGAGGATAGAAACATTAAAAAACACCAATGAAGGGCCAAGGATTTAGCTCAGTGGTTCTGCCGCCTGCCTCACAAGCGCAAGGTCCAGAGTTCAATCCCTGGTACAAAAAACCCCACAAAACACTAAGGAAGTGAGTGATCCTTGAGTTAACACTGAGGGATAAGGACACCTTCTAAGCCTGTGTAAAGCAGTGTCACCAACAGACCTTATTCCAAGCTCTGGGGATCGTGACGGAATATTCTCACACTAACCTCATTTGCTGCTTCCTGATAAGCTCAATACATGCTGAGGACAAACTGACCACTGTCACAGAATGGGATAAGGGGCACAGTGAAGGCCATCTGCTCACTCGGAACCTACGAGTTTTCCCTGCCTCACTCATCATAGTGACATGGATGCCATGCTATAAATGCTATGCTATATTTTGGACTACTTCACTGAAGTCACAAAAGTCCCCATCACATTTTGATAAAATGCCACAAACCCAGTACCATGTGGGTGACTAAGATGACCTTTGCCTTCATGTGTGGTTTTGGAGGGGGAGAAGGGGGCTCTGAATGACCTGGTGGCAGAGGAAGCTGATCTGAGCTTCAGCAGAGGGTCAGCAGAGCACTAGCCAAAGTGTGGGGGGACCTCAGGCCTCCTCGGGGAGACACAGCTTAGAGGAAAAGTGGATAAAATTCTCTGTTATGTTACAATCATGGTGTTAAAAATCTCTGGTTGCCTCAATTATCCATCACTGCCACAGAAATTTGGAGTTGATTATCAAGTCTTACTAGCATAACCCTTTGTCATTCCCCCAAAGGACAGTTAAATTATTAACTGCCCAATGAGCTTTAGCTCTAAGCAAAAATATGAATTTTAAATAATTCTTAACGGGAGTCCCTACTATAACAAACATCTCATATTAAAAGAGGAGATAAAAGAACTCTCTAAAATTGCCCTTGCAGCTTTGCACGTGCAACCAGGGGTGCCAAAGCATTTCCCCATCCAAATTGCTCTGAGTCATGCAGCTTCTGGGCAGACCTGGGTGCTGATTTAAGAAATGTGAACTCTTCTGTGGGAGCTACATGAACTTCTCAGCTCACCTAGGGGAGGGGAATCAACTCTTCCAGGTACCATTTCACAAATTATTGCTACAAAAACCCTAAGTCCATTTAGGAACAAAAGCCACATAGGACCAAAGTCGTTCTGTTTTGGTTCCATGGCTAGTACAAATTACAATCTGCCCACAAGCCTGAGTAAAATAGAAAGAAGAAACAGAACTGCAGGTGAGCCAGGATTCCAAGTACCATTCAAAATCATCTTACCTGTCTTCCTGACGCTGGCCATCTTGGGAGCTACAGGTGAGGGTGGGTTTGAATGTGAGTGTCTGTGCATGAGGTTCAGTGTGGGGAAGTGTGGGAAGCAGAGGATGGGGCAGGAGCAAAGGGCTGGGTATAAAAGCAGGACGTATTTTTGTGAGCAGGCAGGGGTTATGCTTTCCTTGGGGTGTATGCAAATGTTATGGATCAAATTAAAATGCAAGTAAGTCTAATCATTTTCTCAAACTGTACATGACTAAACTAAATGACACACTGGAAGAGAAAGTCCACTTTATATGGGTGCTAAGAATTGATACACATACACACACATGTTGGTATCTGTTCAATGCTGACCCGAGTCATAGCAAAAATATGAAAGCTCATTATTAAATTATGTTCAACATGAGTTGGCCACAAAGTTGTCAGATATAAAGTGGACATTTACCTCTAGGAAACCTCTCTGTTATTATACAGGGTGAGGAAAAAATGCCATTAAGAGTTCTTGGAAATGTTCTCTGACCTCTGTTATACAGAGCTGCAATTAATTGATAAATTTGATAGTTTATAAAATGTAGGGATGTTCTTCTCTGTGTCAAAAACATGTTTCTTTTGTGCTTCCTTTTCTATTTGAAGTTTCTATTAGACAACATTTTTATTAGCAGAAATTGTTTTGTTGAAAAGCTATAAAGCACCCTTCTTGGTATAGTCCTTCTCTGGTAGCAAATGGTTATAGTGAACAAAGAAGACCTACGCTCACTGATTTTTCCAGTTAGGGCAAATCCTTATTTTTACTGAATGTAAAATTTGGCATAGTTCATTTAGCTTCTTTTCATGTTTTCTCTTTGAGTTTTCATATATACTATGCACTCTTAGGTAGTAAGTGGGAAAAATGCATTATGAAAATGTTGGATCTAGAAATTAAACTGTTGAGGTTAATAGTGCTGCTTTATTAGTGAAGGTATGTTTCATGCCCATAGAACGTTACATAGCATCAAATGAAGAGGAAGCTACTAAAAAGCTTAAGATGGTAACAGGGACATGCACTAAATGGTAACCCTTTCCAATGGCAGCAAAGAAACAGGACCCTTTTTCCATCTATAAGAAGTTATATGAGGAGATACAAGGTAGAGAGCCAGTCACAGTACAGTATTTGTATGTGCTGGAAGAGTTTGAAAAGGATATAAAATTAATTTATAAAATACCTAAAGTATGATCCTTCAGTGTTTTTATTCACATCTTCTACCCACTTAGCTACATTATAGTCTCTTTTGAACCATGGATTTAAATACCTGCAGAAAGCAATGGAAGGAACAAAGAAAGCAGAACAAGATAGAAAATCTGAAAATACATAGCACAAGCTTAGCAAGGATGTCTTCACCCTCCATACGCAAATGATTATGGCAAATAAACCAGGATGAACGTTGGGTGATTAAGAAGCAGCTTGTATCTATATATCTATACACACTATGGCCTGAGAATAATCTCAGCTACAGCAAGGCTCAAGGCAGCCTAGAATGTATTCGACAGCTCTGGGAAGGTCTTTGCCAGTGGCTCCTACAGCAGATCAGAACTCCCTTTCAATCACAGTACGGTCAGCACTCCCATTCACCTACCTCCCAGGTGCCTTCTTCCAGGCCACTGCTGATTTGGCTCTTTGTTTTTTAAATGGTAATGTTGCCTTTTGAAAACATTCAGAGGGCTGCAATTCCGATCTGTCATTTGGGTACACAGAACCCCAAGAATAACTTTAAAAAGCAAATTTCCTTTTCAATACTATAAGGCAGCTTTGACATGGCTACTGTCTCACTCCTTAGAGCTGAACCCAAGCTGGGGTCACACACAGTACTTTCTGGTCAGCAGGGGGAAGAGCAGAGAGGTCCACTCTGGAGGGGGGAGCCCCAAGCACAGAAAGTGTGGTCTAAACAGGGCTCCAGGACGTTGAGGGTGCGATTAGTGATTTAGTAGTCGCAGCAATACCTTTTCCTCCCTGTGGTCCCCTCCAGACTAAAGGCTCATGGTGCTGTTAGGAAATGGCCTTAGGAGTCACCTTCCAGGCATCTGAGCATGAATGGAGGGAATGACTGCCAGAGAGTAACAGCGACCTTGGTGAGCATCTCCCTGATGCATCTGGTGATGTATCAATTAGAATTACTGTGCAGATTTTAAAGGCAGTAAAATGGAAGGTGTGGTTATTTTTCTGCAGAGTTTCCTTTGATTTTTACCCTGAGAGTCAAGTAAGAACACATGCTCTTAGCATTTGGCCTTGAGAACAGCACAGATTTAATAAATTCAATAGTGAAAGAATTTGGAGGTTTTACTGGGCTTTCTCATTTTTAAAAAGTAACTTCTAGAAACAGTATAAGCAATGAAGATCCAAGCTCTACAAAATTTAAGTTATATGGAAAAAAAACCAAGGAAAATTATAAAATAAATTTTTTTGGTTCTGGGCTCAAACTCAGGACCTTGTGCTTGCAAGGTAGGTGGAGGCACCACTGAGCTAAATCCCCATCCCATAAAATACATTTTTTTGTTTCTAGTAAATGTTAGCTTCTTTGCTCTTTCTGTAGCCTTGAGCTGTTTGTAAATATATTTAAACCAAAACTACACAGTAATATTTTTAAAATAAGGTTATTTTTCCATAGCCTGTTCCTTCATTGTTAGCCATAACCAAGAACTCTACAAAATAACATCATGATTCTCTCTTTTAAAGGGGGGCTTTGTTTCTTTTTATACTTTTTAAATACTTTTTATTTACGTTTATTTTTTGGAGAGAGGGTCTCACTGTGTATTCCAGGCTTTCAAGCTGGTCTAGAACTCACTATGTAGCCCAGGCTGGCCTCAAACTCACAGCAATCCTGTTTCAGCCTCCCAAGCGCTAGAATTACAGGTGTGCACCACCACACTGGGCCTTCTCATAGTTAAAAGACCATCTTTGTTAAGATAACTGCCTGATTTAGGAACAACTCACACTAGTTCTGCCTTTAGCCACAATCACTGCCAACTTGTACTTTTCACAGAGAGTCAGTCTGCATAAAGATTTCCACTGAGACTTAACAAAAGAAATGAAAAAGGAAGCAAGTGCAGCCACTGATGAAGGCTAGTGAATGCTCTGGCCTGGGGAAAACTGCAGAAAAAGCCCATGCAGCTGTCATCAGGTGAAACAGAGCCACGGCAAACAGAGTCACCTACAGGCAGATGGCCACTTCCTGGAGAAGACAATTATTCCTTTCACTGAGTATCTCAGAAAATCAAAGTGCCGGTGCCATGGCTGCTCCATGAAAGCTACAGCCATCTGGCTGGACTTGCACTTGAGGGGCCTTTTCCTGCATTTTAGGGAGCAACTCAGAAGGCTGAGGTCACTTCACAGAGCCACTGAAGAACTCTGAATTGCTGCTCCCCTTGGGAGCCGGCCCAGGAAAGGGTCTTCAGAATGGACTTCTGACATCTCTACTTCACAGTAGCTAGAGTGGTAGGATTCTATCAAACATCAACAACCCTGTGTGGCTTGACTTGGCTTGGAGCGCAACATGCAAAAAATGCGTCAGACAGGCTAGGAGAGCTCTTTATGTTCTCTGGGATGGAAAGGCAGAGGAAAATTAGCTGGTGCTGGCTGGACCAGGAGCACCTCTGAGCAGACATGGAGGCTCAGTTAAAGATCCAATGACCCTGTGCTCAGCCAAGGAAGGGACTTGAAGGGAGATTAAGTGGCAGCCCAGAATGAAGGGGCAGGTGGAGACTGACCTGTGATCCAGACTCCCTGTCTGGGGGCTGTCAGAGCCCCCTGGGCTTATGCCTTGGGATGGGACTGTCTGGGCGAGGGAGTGCCCAGGCTCAGGTGCTTGGGGCTCCCTCCTGTAAAAACACAATATATAATACAGAGTCTAAGCCAAAAAGCTCTTTCATTTCATGTATAACAGTGAGGAATATGTATAAGCTTTGAGTGGGAAAACAGTACAGCAAACAAGGGTATTTTATTTTGTTAATTAGCAAAGCATGCATTGTGGTGCATGTTGTCATTCATGTCCCAATTTTCATCACCCATTGTGATGATGAGATATCAAAAGGCAATGTTGAGATAATGGACCTGAAATACCTCCTATTGTTTAAAAAAATAAAAATCAAAGATACCTTTTCCTGTGGTCATTTTGCTACTTTTATAGTCACACAAATGGTATGATTATATCAGAAGTAAATGAGATTACTTAAAAATGTGCCAACATCATTCTTGACATGTCATATATCAGGAGTCATTATTATTGCCATGCTACAGATCAAACTCAGGGCCTCGAGCACGGTAGGCAAGTGCTCTACCACTGAGCTATATCCCCAGCCTAGGAATCCTTATTTTCAAAAAGTATAAAAATGCATATATAGAGAGAAATAGTCCCAGTACCAGAAGATAAATGAGAATAGTAGCATATGAGAATAGTGCTGCATTTATTTACACAAGTCATGTAACTAGAATGAAGTCTGAAAAATCTGCAGGAATTCTTAATTCATCTCCATTCTAAGATAATACTTTTAGGATGTCTTATTAAATATTCCTTATATTTATTATAACAACTATCTCAAAGCTAGATTTCTCAAAGGCTACTACAGTATTATAATTTTTAGCACATGATGTTAGTGGAAACTATACACAAAATTTTAAAGGATAAGTGAATGCCCTAGAAAATATTGTAGGAATATTGCTAAATACCAAATGTTCTTTGGGTCCTAAACTAATAACTTTAACATAGTACTAGACTTCTTTTTTCCGCTTAGGAATTGTCAAAGTCTTGCTATAGAAAACACTGTAAGAATACTAAATAGTACACAAAGGAAGTTCTATAGAGCAACTTGGGATTTCTTCTGTTTCCTTATGTGCAGTTGAAATAAGCTAAGAAGCTCTTACCAGGTGACCTCATGCAAATCAAATCAAATAACATTCCACAGGAGAGTTTATCAACAGTGAGCCTGAAAGCATCCAAGCGCTTTGGGAATGCGTAAGATAAACTCTAACCAATTAGTTATTTATGATGAAGTTCTATGATGCCATTCTGGACCATGCAATGCTGTCACTTGAAACTGTTCATTGTTTCTAAGGTGAAGTATCCTCTAATAAACTTTGATAAGCCACTTACAAGACAATACCATTCAGGTGGAAGGTCCAAATTTCAGGGCAATGTTATTACTCCTGGACTGAAAAAGGCAGGATACATGATGGTAAAGCTAACAAAAGTTTCTGACAAGCAGTTAACAAATACCTGCTATTCAGACTTTTTAAGTATTAAGGCATGAAGAAGCAATAAAGACCCTGGAAATGATATCACCACAGTGAGAAATAAGTGAAAAATCTTAGGTGCCTTAAAAAAGTTCAGTTAGTTAAAACCAGGTGGCAAGTTCAGTCCAAAAGGATGTGGAAGGTGTGTTTCCATGAATGGGAGATAAAGGTTTGAGGAGGCCCTTACTTGTGCCCTCTTAAGTTGGAGAAACATTCCCCCAGAGAAGTACAGGCTGTTTACTTCATTATAAAAGACTTTAAATATAACTTCCAGCCCACTTCCACTTAAAAAAAAAGTGGCTATCATTTAAAATGAGTAGTGTTGCATTCAGTGACAACGATTCAGTTAAAGAGCAAGTTTAGGTCAATGCCCCTTTAAAGGTCCTCAGAAGGACCCTTTAAAAGGGAAACTTATTGCCTAGTCTGAGAGAATGCTTAGATTGCAGCCATGAAGACCTCAGAGTGGTGGTTTGGGGTCTAGAGCACCGTCACGCTCTAAGGCATGGGGAGCTTCCCTGATGCTTCCAGTCCGCATGTGCAGTGGGAAGAGGAGGAAAGGTGGCCCCTTGACATGGCTGGACCCCGGGTGATGAGGAGACGGGGGCGGGAGGGGTTATCAAAATTCCCTCTGGAGGGAACCAGGACACCACAAGGGCAGGTGACTGGAGGGAAGGCTACAGCAAGGGTGAGACCCCACTGTCAGTGAATGCTGGTTTGGGCACAGTTGCGGAGATGCCTATGTGAAAGAGAAAAGTCATGGTTAACTTTTATAGAGCAAAAAGCATTAATGGGACAAAACCAAGACCAGAAGCATGGTTTACTGGTTCTTTTGTCCATCTGCTTAATTGGAGTGCCTTTTTCTATTAGAGGTTCAGACTTACTCAGTTGAATTAGATCGAGGTCTAAATCTTTTGCCTCTGATTTTCTTTCTGGTGCCTCCCAGGTTACCTGGAAAAGATGGTTTATAGCCAGATTTCCATATAAATAAGTAATTGCTATCTCCAATTGCTATGTCCAATCACGTGGCATTTCACCACCCTAGATTGAACCAGGTCCGTCACAATGAGCTCTATGCTTAGTCCTTTTTCCTTTGTTATTTTGAGACAGGGTCTCATTAAGTCACTAAGTTTTCTAGGCTAGGATCCTCCTGCCTGGACTCCACCAGCCTCAGCCGCCCAGAGTGCTGAGATTACAGGTGTGTACCAGTATACCCAGATGGTAAAATAAAAATAAAATACAAGCTACTTTTCAAACTTCCTCCTTCTTGGTGCAGATGAATGGACCAAGAAATAACATCCCTGTCTGAAAGTAAGGAGGTCTGGCCGGTTTCTCCATAAGGGAAGAAGGGAGGAAAAATCCGAGAATGGCAGGGGAGACAAAACTACACAGGCATTTATTTCCTTGTCTGTTACCTTATTGTATTTCTCCCCTCTCTTCCTTAAGATAAGAGCTCTTGTACAACTAAGGAAGGGGAGGCAATAAGAGGCCCTTCCACCTCCTTCGGGGCTAGCTTTGAACACATTCTTTTGTTGTTGTTGTTTGCCTTAACCAAAGACAATTGTCTTCCATGTTCTTGGGAAGCAGTGGGTGGTACAAACCTGAGCAAACTAACATACTGGTGCTACCATTCCCCATCCAAGAAGAGAAAAATAAAATGAAACAAAATGAAACGCTGGACTCTTGTTCTAAATACCCTCCTCTCTACTGGGAGATGAGTAGAGAGCTTATAGGAATAATTGTGTCTTTCCACCCAGAGACCACAGAATACAGAACTTGGGTTATGGCCACAGATGGAGTCACAGTGCTACCCTGTACCTTGCCAAGAGTTACTTCGAGGCCGTCCATTTTCACAGATGTCTGAAATATGTTTTGTGTCTGGAATCCTTTCACTCCAAGAATGAGAGAGGCCATTTGACCTGAAATTGAAAATATTTTTATATTGTTCAAAATGGAATAAAATGGATGTTTTGAAATCAGTAAGCAAAACTATAACCATCATTGTGCATTAAATAAAATAAGAAAAAATCTGAAATGAATGAAAAGAACATATACATCTTCATGAAGAAGGCAGAATTACACAATTTAAGAAAAGTCAAATACAATGGAACCCCATTACAACAGTCCAAAAACCAAAAGTCCCAGGTCTGAATGCAAGACAATCTATATTCCCCAGAACACAGCAAGCACAGGTTGCAAAGTCACTGTGTGTTTCAGTTACATAAGCCCAGCCCCAGAGTTATAATGGGGTCCCACCATAGATGTTTCTTAATTGTAAAGCAATGGCTTCCATTCAAATATTATGAGAACATGGACTTCCAAGAGATAATATTAAGATTTGTTCAACTGAACCAGGTTCATCTTTATCAAAGTAATATTTATGGTTAAATAATAAAATTACTTTCCAAGGAAATTGGCATTTTTCTCCACAAATATGATCCAAAGAAGTACAGTTTAGTTACTTGTCCAATAGCTGAACTGAACAAGACGGAAGTTTGTCATGGAAACAGCTCTCACAAAGCCCATGTACCATTGAGCCCTAGGCCCTGTCCTACCAACTTCAGTGAATTAGCTACAAGAAGCAAACTCTACACACATACCTTGTATCCCATAACAAAAGAAGTCTGACAAACTGCGCATACTTAGAAGTCTAATAATTTGATACATCTTTAACTACTTAAAATCACAACCCATTAAAACTTTTTTAATTATTTGAAGGAATATTTTAAGCTCTTTTCCAGTACTTTAGAAAATAGCATTATAATTAAAAATCTTTTCCACATACCATAATGTTTGATTGCCAATAATATCTGTTTTTAAAAGAACTTACTGATGAGTGAAAGCACATAGAACTCAGCACAACTGTTATACGTTAATGCCCTAGGTTGGAACTTTTCAACATCATTTGCTACTTACAGAATGACTTCTGTTTTGTAAGAAATGGTAATAGAAATTCTGCTGGAACCCACTTATTTCTCTTTCTTTACTGTCATACTCAATTAAAATTTTTGTATTTGACCAAGGCAATATTCATATAAGATAATTCAAGTAGATCCCTAGTCATCTTCTCCTAATCAACAAACCCACCCTCGATAAATTAAAACAATGTTTTTAAAAGCATTTTTATAAGCCCCAAACTAGTACTTCTGCTTTTGCTTTAAATTCTATTATCTAAGTGAAAGCTGTCCTTCATGCTTAACAAAATTCCACAGAAAACAGAGTTCCCAGATCTCATCAATTCCTTCTACTCTCCTTCCTGATTAATGTTCATAAAGACTGAGTGAGCATCACTGCAGAATTCCTACAAGTAATCCATTCTGTCTCAGCCACCAGGAGAGATCATGTTCCCACTTAATAACGTAGCCACATCACCTCACTGTGCAAAATAATGGATGTGCCCATTCTCATTTGTGTGCCTACCAAAACTTTATTCCTCTCTATTACACACCTATTGGCAACTTTAAAGAAATTCCCCATAAGAATACTGTAGCTTCCTTCAATGCAAATATACATCTTACTCCTTAAAATATTCCAAGTATTTATTTCTTCTATCCACTTACTATAATTATAAAGCATGCAGAATTTTAAGTGGTGCCAAACATCTTATGATGCTAGAACAAGAATATATCATCAAAGTTTAAGACATATAAATACTATATTAATCTCACCTTACTATTGTAAAACTCAGGCAAATATTAAACATACCTAAATTAATTCATCAACTAAGGTATAAATCATGACATCTCCAAATAGTCATTCCAGAAAAAAAATGCAAAATCATAATATTCAAATACATGATTCACAGAGAAGCAATCTGTTTCACAGCAAGCTTAGCTTGGATATATATATATGACATTTAAAAAAAATTCAAGACAGCACTTATATTACCAATTTATCTTAACTGCTTTTATTGAAGCATGACAGTAACCTTTTTCTTTGACTACCAAATATGACATAAAGCTCACCATTTAAAAATATTATTAAAATACTATGCTGAGTTTCTCAAGCCTTACCAGAGCAAGACTATAACACCCTGGGGTTTCTATGAAGATTTAAATTGTTTTGTTTTGTTTCAATTTTGTGGCCCGATTTGTATATCAAGTGGTTCTGAGCATATGGCATTTTGAAGTAGAGTAATCAAAGAACAAAGGATACTATTTCTTTTAACATTCAAGAAAGAAGGAAGAAGTAATCAAACCTGCTGCAAAATAATGAAATGTTCTGACTAATGGAATAATGTGGGATGGAACAGGTAGAAATCTGAAAATGCGACAGAAAGGCAGACCTCTTCTTAGAGCTAGATGCGGAGTTCGTGCTGACTCCAGGAGGAATGTCGCTATAAAAAGAGTCGCCATCTCCAGGCTTTTTTACATAATCTCCCTGGGGTAACTGTCTAAGGCATAATAAACATTTCAGAGTCAGAAAACAAGACACACACATGAACAAAGACATATACAAATATTATTTCAGGAAAAAGAGGTAGGGGTAATGATCTACATGAATCAAATCTGTAACAACACAGAAGATTATTAATAAATGAGATAAGTTTATTAATAAGTGTGACAAGTTACAGTCATTCTAACTATAGAGATCAGAAATACAATTACTGGCGTCTTTATAGATTTGGGAGAAGGCTGTACTTTGGGGAGAAAATGTGGAAAGATAAGTTTTGTAATTGTAACCTCATTATAATTGGAGATGTTAGCTGCAGTTTTGTCCTTTAAAAAAATTGATGTGGAAGATGGGTTAGGGTAAAACAGTTTTTTTCCCCACTGTAGTGAATAAACTCTTCATAATTTCTAAACATTACATAATGAATGTGACTGAACTTAATTGATTGATTTCTACGGTATTCTGTACTTTAATCCAAATAAATTATTAGTTTGGTGTTCAGTTTGGAGTTTCATTATTTATTTAAAAGAAGTAGGAAGAAATTGAAAAAGACTCCAAGTTTTATAATAAACAGTGTATTATGCAAAGGAGGATAATTTACCCAAAGGAAGAGAGGGCTGTGAAAACTCTGGAAGAGCATTTCTGGTTATATGGAGGTGACCTCAGTTCTGGCTCCACTGTCCTGATAGCACAGCAAGGAGCCCTTGTGCATTCTGCGCTGGTGCCGACCCACTCCGCCCACTTTGAACTACGCTGGCACAGACTTTTCTCACTCCCCCTAGGGGACCCAGGTAGGAGCTTTATATAGAGGCTCCAGCCAGCCACCCACAGCAGCTAGCGTGCTCATCGGCCAGACTGTGGCCCTCCAGCAGCCAACTGCATCGGACCCTGGACTCCTCCACTCAGTGCTGGAGCGAGGTGTCACACTGGTGCAGGGTTAAGAGTTTAAAGCCAAGCCACACTCCAGTAGATCCAACAGAAGCATTCAAGTGCTAATTCCTCCTCCTATTTGGTTTCTCTTCAGTTACCATGATAATCTTGGTTACTTCTAATGCTATTTTTCCTCCCAAAATTCCACTTTCCGATGTCTGCTTATTTGTATTGATTCTCATATTGCTGTAAATGTTTAAAATACTTCATCATTCTTCTGAATGACTGAAATCCTCTCCCATATTATTTCAATGCTATTCATTCACACATTGCTATAAATCTGAAAAACATTTTTCAATGGATATAAAGCATCCATTTAATTTGTGATTTAATCTACTCTAATGAAAGAATTTACTACTAATCTGTAAGACTAATTCTACCCACAGATCTTTGACATAGGCTCCTACAAAATACGTACTTTTTAATTCTGAGAGTGACTTCAACTCAAGATTATCCTTTCTTTTTACCAGTTATGATATATTGATTTTATATGAAAATAAGCCTCTATATTTGCAGTATTAATAATATATGATGAGGTATATGTCAACAAATTCAAATTAATAAAGACAAGCTACTATGTAAGAGCTCAGAATCACACTGTAATCCTCCAAATGACCTTGTCTTTGCATGGTTCAGGCACTGGGGCCTCCATCCTGGTCTTTATCAAGGCCTCAGTCAGCTGACACAGCAGGTCCAAAGGGATTGCCTCCCACAGCAGAGGGGCTCTTTTATTGTTACTTTTTAATGGAGCACAGTTTACTAACTTTTCAGTGCCACTTCTCTGAAGTCCACAGTCACTTCTGACACAGTGTACAAGCATCCTAAACGCTAAGCATGTCACAATCTGTGGATTTCAGTCAAGGTATTGGCAAGTTCAGGTTCAGTACACTTCCGGAGCATTTCCTTTCATCAGCCTGGCCAGATGAAACTCCTATCTATCTTCATGGAAAGTGTCCAAAATATAGAAACTACTTCCATATGCATCCTCCTGGAAATACCACAAGGAATGCAATACCACAAGGAAATACCACAATGCAACTTTCTTTATATAGCAAATATCAGTGATAGATTAGTAATTTGTTAACAGCAATATCTAACATCTTTCACTATCCACTTTTATAATATTTATCATATATTTAACAAATGTTTCTTGCTGTAGTAAAGATAAAGACGATCAGGGGTCCATAATCAATAAAATAACATTTCATTCCTTTTTATGAAAGATCATAAGAGAGCAGCCAAATGATACCCTTAAAATTCTTAATTTAAGGTGTTCCTCCTAAATTTTGAGTGGTTTTTCACATTTCCTTAAATTTGGAGCCTGAAAATGACTAGCACACTAAGTGGCCTGACCAGTGCTAAACTTTATAATAGGAAAATTACCTCTTTCTCACATTATATGCAAATATTTTAGACATATGCATATTTTTGTAAAGAATAACCCAAAGGAAAAAATCTTCTGTGACTGTTGTTTTTCTTTAAAATTATCCCTTTTCACATTAATTACAAGTTGCCTTTTCTCCTTCCTATACAACCTTAATTTATTTTGTTTTGAATTGATACATCTCATTTGATGACATTCTTTTGAAAGTATTCTAATTATCTAAGTCAAGGACCAACTCCTATAATTTAATGACTCTGGAGGAGCTGACTGATACAAACTGCAATTATTACTTCTCTGAAGGTCTATGTTCATTGCTTATTTGTTCTTTTTCTACTTCAGATTAAGTCAGTCCAACTCTTATGTGTTCATAATTATAAACCATCTAGTGCTGCATGAGAGCATTATAAATTTAAACACTAAGGAAGACTATTTCTTGGAGCAGGGCATGGTAGTGCACGCCTGTAATCCCAGCACTCAGAAGGCTGAGGCAGGAGAATCACCACGAGTTCAAGGCCAGCCTGAACTACACAGTGAGACCCTGTCTCAAAAAAACAAAACAAAACAAAACAAAACAAAACAACAACAACCAAAAAAAGACTATTTCTTGGACACTTCAAAAGCCTTTGGGCAAATAGTTGATCTTATTATGAGTGAAGTCTGATCTTTCCTAAAGTTATCCATCAAACTGTTATATTTATTTGCATAATCCCTAGGTATATTCAGAATGAAAAAAATGTAACCAACTCTTAATCCTAGTGCTAAGAAGATATTTATCCAGTGCTTCATTGGTGTCTAGGCTGTCTTTTATTGGAATTGTTGCATTACTGTTTTAGGACATTTTATAAGGTGTTCTGAGAGACTGATAAATGCATGAATATTACTGGAATAATAGCAATATAAAAAGAAACCAAGAAAGGCTTGAAAAAAGTGGGAAATCCATAAGAAAAAAAATTAAGTGACTAAAACAGGCTAGAGAGAAAAGAAATGAGGAGGGGAAAAGATTACGCTTAAGGTAAAACCATAGAATAGAAAGACATGACCTAAAATATTGTATTTCTCATTATCATAGTGATGAGTGTTCATTTCAGACAAAGAAAAAAGATTTCAACTGAATAGGAATACTTTATAAACTGAAGTTCAGCTAATATTTCTTATTCTATTTGTAAACCTGCCTGAAAACTAAAACCTATTTATAACTGTTATCAACCATACAACTGCTAAGTCCTAAAGCACTCATACTATGACACAAACAATAATGTCAACTTTTAAAAATATGGAGGTTTTCTTTCCTGGAGATTTGAAAGGAAATGATAAACAGCCATCTTTGTAATTGCTGAATGTCTAACTTCCCCATGGCTAATCTTCCCCTTGCCCAACAGCTCTGGCAGATTTACAGTGAAGCGATTTAAAGTGATGTGTGGGGTTCAGCCCCACAACTGGCCTTCTATTCTATTTTTTTAATAAGCAGACTGTGAACAAAAAGGAAAAAAGCGGGGCTTGTTTTTTTTTTATCTTTTTGTTAGCCTTGTTAATAAATATACAGCACAACTCTTCAATATCCTGAAAACCTTGAGGATGCATTCTTGGGAGGGAACACTGATCAGGTTTTCATAAGTATTTATGGAATTACTTGCCTGTGTTCTCTAATAATTTGAAAGTTATGCCAAATTTCACATTTCTGAGCCATTGCAACACTAACAGGAATCTGATAAGCGGCTACATATTTAACACATTTTGCATTTAGTGGCAAAACTTTATATTCACCAACATTTTCATCGGTGTAAAGGATACCTGTGGGTTTCATGTTGATGAATGCTGCCTTCCTTTTTGAGAACATTCTCCTCTTCCATGCAATGATTAGAGAAACACATCCTTCAGAGACCACACTCTATACTGACAATGTCCCATTACTGTAATGCTTACAAATTACACAGAACTTTGACTTCTGAGTGGAGGAAAGTTTAAGAGATTTTCCGAAATCACATATTAGTATATTTCTAATTCCTTAACAACTAGTTCTCCTACCATAGAACCTGAAAGGAATACCTAATTTTAAGGCAATGCTAACTCAAAGTTTTACATTCTACTTCCTAGAAATCTTTGGAACTGGTCAGATCTCTGCAAATCATGTTATAAGACTGAAAACTTCTTAATGCATGCTTTAGTCAGTTGCCCTTAGTATTTTTTCTGTATCACTAACATATATTCCCAAAAAGAAACACCCTTTAGAAGACACTTACACATTCACAACTTCCTGATCTAAAGGTTGTAGGTTGTACAAACCTAATATTCATTAGCTATGGAGAAGAGGGAAACAAAGTTTTGTTGACAGATATCCACTGAAGATGTAACAACTCTCAAAATATGGACTTGATTCCAAAAGCATAGCCAGACTGATGAAATGATGACTTGGTAACACCAGGAGATGTGCTAATATACCAGGCAAGTAAAGCAGATTCTTTATGTGAAATGTTTTAACTCTATTCGTATGTTGAGTTAGAATGAGAAATGAATGTGTACTTTTAAATATTAATTATTTGGTACAGTGTGGCCAATTACCTTATTCTGGATAGCATCCCTAGTGAGAACACATCTTAGGGCACTGTTTTACTATTTCTTATGTTACATATTTGAGTCATTTTAGTTTTCTTTTTATATATTCAAGTATTAAATTACATTATAGCCTTACCCTCTATGGAAACAAAGCTGAATTATCAATTTTTTAAATTTTATCAACCTAATTATATTTTCCACTGAAGAAGGTCATTGACCTTAGAATTCTGATAAGACTAATCATTTCTACTCAACAGAAAGTATAAGTGGCTGCTGCTCTATTCAAGTGCTTCAGGACACAAGTGTTTAAAATATGTCACAAAGAAATCTAGCTGTTTTTAAAATTTAGTTAATTTTCTCTCAGTTTTACTTTTTCCATTAATGATGAGTTCTGCTAAGTGCCTGGAGCACAGAACTACATACTGTACAACATACAAGACCTATCCTGGATAATTAACCTCTAGGATTATATTTTAATTTTTATATCAACCTAGACAACATAGAGAGACCCTATCGCAAAATAAAAAATAAAACAGGTGTAGCTCCATGTGAAGGCCTCAAGTTCAATCTCCAGGACCATAAATCAATCAATCAATCATATACCCCAATAGTGTAGTACGTGGCAATTTAAGTTTAGATACAATAGGCAATTCTTATAGAACAACATGAATACAAAGTATCTCTTTTTACACTGGTGGCTAACTGTTAATTATAAGGTTATGTTGAATAAGGTGTCTGACTTTGTGTACTGGCATTTTTATTTGAAAATATAGGAGACAGATTCCAATTACACAAATTTCCTTCTTTACCTGTGATTACCTAATTAGTACAAAAGTATTTTCTTACACAAAGATAACTAGTTCACTAAGTGCCAGAACTTTCCCAACAGCAACACTGTAGCCAGATAAACACTTGCCATTTATGAGGGAAAGTTATTAATGTAACAACAGTAATGAAGAAAAAATAAATTTCCTTGGACAATACCAGGCAATCAAGGTGTTGTAAACATGAAAAGCCCATAAACTAATGTAAACAAACACAACAACTTCACATACAGGTAGTTTATTTCAGATGGAAAAAATTAAATCTGTATATGCTACTATAAAATAATAAAATTTAAAATTATTTCAAGATCATAAAAAATCAAGATCATCCTTGCATAAAAACAAAGTAAACTTGATTTATAATTGCATGTATGAATTTCAGCAATGTTTAAAAGAATTAAACCTTTTAGATACACATTCAGATTATTCTCATTACATACCTCTGTTCTCGATAGTTTCTTTTCATGAACAAGAAGAGAGAGGGAAAAACACAAAAATTATTTCTCTCCATAGACATATTAATAGAACACTAAATATAAAAGCTCTAGCATTCACTGAAAGATCTCTACAACAGGGGTTTGAGTTGTGGAGTTAAAATGGGGAATACCAACAAAAGTAATTCATGCGATCATTAGGATAAGTAACACCAGAAGGTCAGTGACAATATCATCAAATAATTACTCACTTTTAAAAGTATAAATACGCTGTACTTCTTAAAGGATAACTATTTTCTCAATATCAATTTCATTATACTAAACATTTAATAATGTTCTAAAGTCAATCCTATTTTAAATATTGGTTTTTAGATACATACATGGATTTCAATAATAAAATTAATGAATCAATTTATGTACATAAGTTAATTGCATTTCAAAGAAATAAAATCATAGGGCTGGGGATTTAGCTCAGTGGTTCCTCCACCTGCCTTGCAAGCACAAGGTTCCAAGTTCGACCCCGGTACCAAAAAGAAATAAAATCATAATTTATTCCTTTTGGAATACAATTTCCCAGCTATAGCCAATCCTAATAATTTCAAATACAAGAACATAAATGGACACTGGGATATTAATTTTTCACCATGTACAGTAAATAAGAATGAGTTAATTCATGGCTCTCATGGACCTCCTTAGTTATTGGTACTTATTCACTCAAGCTTGTCACTAGAAATATTTTCTCAAGGTGTAATCTGTTTTTTATTTGACCATAAACTAAAATAAACTTACATGACTTTAAAAATAAACTGATCTTAAGCAAATATTTGTCCTAAAGGGTATGGCAGTTCAGTGAGTTGATTTTTTTTTCAAAAGGGTTAACTTTCTATGTTGACATACTTGACAGTTAATACTTTGAAGACACGTTAGAAAGGCCAAGGGACAGTTATTTGGAGTTCCTTAGTATAAAAGATCAATGATGTAGTTGGACATGGTGATGCACCTCTGTAATCCCAGCACTCTGGGAGGCTGAGGCAGGATGATCACAAGTTCAAGTCCAGACTGGGCAATTTAGTAGTGAGACCCTGTTTCAAAATTTTAAAAAATTTGTTTTTAAATTTTTTAAAGGGTTGGGGATGTAAATTAGTGTAAAGACCCAGAGTTCAATCCCCAGTACTAACATAAATAAAATATTAAGGATGTTTCCATTTGGAGCACCTTCACCTGCCATTCTATCCACATTATAAGAATGGGCAGATGAGGGTAAAAATGCCAATTTGTTATTACTTTTTGTGAAAATCTCTCTCTCTCTCTCTCTCTCTCTCTCTCTCTCTCTCTCTCATACCTGGGATCGAACTCAGGACCTTGCACTTGCCAGGCAGGCTAGGTGCCACTGAACTACATCCTCAGCCCTACTTTTTGTTCTTGGTCTGATTACTTCAGCTATCCAGTTCCAAATGAGTAATCTGCATTTCCTTCTTCACAAAATTTGGAGAAAGTTTAACTGGAAGAATTAGTGAAGAAAATTAGTTCTGAGATTCTAAATCTGTTTTTGGATTTCAAATGGAATGTATGAATTATCATTTTCATTAGTTTAATTCCTTTTATAAAATTTCAAAGTCTTCATTTTATTTCTAAACATATTCTGAGTAGTTTTAGTCATTACAAATTTAATCATTTAGGCTCAAATTATTTGAAGATACTATAATTTGAACAGTATTTGCCTTTTTTCTTAATCAACCAGCACAGTATAGATGTTCAGAAATATTTTTAAAAAATAAAAGCCCAAAAGAAACAAATGGAAAACAGATGATGTCAACAGATACCGGTAATCTCAGAAGCAACAGGAAAGGTTTCTGATGTCCTGAATGGCAAGTTATTCTGCGAGTCTAAGAATGAAATGTCCATTTGCATCCATGGGTGGCAGAAAGTCACACACTCTAGAGTTAGCGATTTTTCTTTCTATTTTCATGTGATCAATGAAACCATGGAGCTACTTCAAAGTAGCAATGCCTGTGGTGACGATGACTGCGTAAGTTTGGCATCGGGGAAACCTGAGAAAATAGTATAACTCACAAGTGGCATGAACCTGCCTGCCATGCAAGGGGAGATCAAATGATCACCACACAGAGAAGTACTCTCTTCAGGCATGTAATTTCATAGTTCCAAAGGTTAGGGCAAGTGGACCGTGCAAATATAATGTGCCATGCACCTTATGACCTGCACATCAAGTGGCCCCGAGGGACTGGTATGGGGCAAGGTACAGATTCAGGGAGGGCAGGGCTTTCCTAGGTTGTGCCTTCTGCTGTGCTGTGTAGGTCATCTGTGCCATGCTGTCTATGCCACTTGGTAATGCACTTTTTCATAAGGGCCTTTCTATACTTTAATGTTTACAGCACACAAAATTTATCCTGGCAGTAAACTAACTAAACTAGTCTTCCTTTTTAGTCAGATACTCTTTCAGCGTTTTGGCATCACAGGAAATGGCTATAAACACTTTTAAGGTGTCTCCTTTGACTCCGTTAGTGTAAGACCATGTGAGGAGATCATTACCACAGCAAACAGGTGTGGTGCTATCTGTGGGCCAGGTACCACCCCAAAGGTTGGACGTACATTAACCCTCATTTTAAGCAAAAATGAGTCTCTTAAAAGGAAGGAGATGATTTAAAATGTAAAATATTATCTTTCCAATTAAACCTAAGTTTAATCCATGAGAAAAATATGCTATGAAATGAGGAAATAAATGCCCAGAAGGCTTAACAGAAGTGGCAGATCCTCCAAGTGGTATAAAACCTTAGGTTGATGGACTGAAACATCATCACCAGAAATCAGCAGACTATGATTTTAAGTTGAAATATTAAAGAGAACTAAGAGTTCAGTATAGTTAAGTTTTGACTTCTTACATTCATTATTTGAATACTAACTACTTAAGAAACTCATCACACACACACACACACACACACACACACACACACACACACAATGAGAATGCCTGAAGGCATTTACTTAGCAAAATCCTTAAGGGTGTCAAACATTATTCAAAAGTAACGTGACTTTTAACTTTTAAAATTTATATATAGAACCAAAAACATAAGTTGAACTATGGAGTTTAAAAAAGAATTAGGATTTTAAAAATTTGTAACATGAAGTAAAACTCTAATTTTAACAGATTTAATTTCACAGGAATCCTTTCTTCACAGGAAAACCTAATATATTTAACAAATACTTGTGCCTCCTCTGTAACAGCTGTGTGGATAAAAGAGTTTTACCTTTGTGTGCCACATGGTCATAGGGAGCTCTGGTAAACCAATCTGCTGCTGCTGCTCTATTACAGACAAAACTGTCTGTTCCTGCTGCAGCAGTCACTAAAGCCCCACTGAAGCTTCCTCACTGACTGTCCTCCCTGGACTTCTGAGCATGAGTCTGGGTCCAGGGAAGTTCTGTCACTAACGACCAGAGCATCCAGCCTTTGCACAAGACACAATTTAGACCGGTTCTAATTCCCTGCAACAATCTTAAAATGATATTCGGTTCTTTCAGAACAGAAAAGAGTTGTTTCAAAATCTAAAACCATGACAACTTACTAATTATAACTATGCCAAGCGTAACCACTGACTGCTGAGCCAGACTGATTTTCAACCCAAGTATATTTATCCAGTGTTATAAAACTTTCTAGATATTTTCATTTAGTCAAAATATTTGAACATATTTTTGCAGTAATACTGAGACATCTGACTTACTTATATCCCCAGGCAGTTATTCCTAATATGAGAGCCAGCACTAAAATGGTGCCAGCAATTATACCTATGATGATATTGGTACCAGCAACACCTGAAAAAGAACAAGAGGGAGGGGATCAGTGATAGAAAATTCTTGCAGGAACTGTGTTCTCCAGATTTATAAGCATCATACTAAGCATTATTGGCTTTTTAAACAACAGGTATTTTTCAAAAGAAAGAGAAATCAATCATAATTCAGCTAGCCACATCAATTTTTTTCAATTACATTTTTATGTATCTTTTAAATTTTTGTCCAAGTGCATTTTGCACAGTTGTATTTCCCTTGTATTTTTTCTGGAAAGCATAAAGTCATTGAATTAAAAGGAGAAAAAGTAATTTGATTTTTTTCAAAGCCATAGCACCATTCAGGGAGGAATTTTTAGAAAATCTGTGCTCCTTTTGACCCTTTTCTCAATCTCAGAAATTCTGAAATGTGCCAGGTGTGGTGGCGCATGCCTGTAATCCCAGCACTCGGGAGGCTAAGGCAGGAGGATCCCAGTGGGTTCGAGGCCAGCCTGGGCTACACAGTGAGATCCTGCCTCAAAGAACAAAACAAAACAAAATCTAGAATGTTATATTCACATCACTCCATTTAACGGTAAAGCAAGGGCTTTTCCCACTGTTGGTAGTATGTCATTTTTTGTCTCTCAAAATGAACCTAAGCTTTTTAAGTGAAAAACATCTACAGGTTTCCATGCAAAGTGCTCAGATATGCAGATGATGAAAGCGCTGGGTTTGCAGCTACCAGTGCAGGCAGTGACAGCTACAGCACCCTGGAGAGGGAAAGTGGTCCAGTGAGTTAGAGCCCAGGGCTGGTGGGGGATGAGAGGGGGTAGGAGCCAGATGGGCAGAGGCCCCACAGGTGGGATGCAGGGCACAGTTCGACTTAGCACTCAGTACTGGCAAGGCTAAGTCACACCCACTTGCAGGCAGGCTGAGAAGTCATGCTGGAGTGGGCCCTGGCAGTGAGCGTGGCCCAGTGAGTCCAAGGCTTAGTCATCAAGCTCAAGGGAAGGACCTGGAGCACAAAAGGCAGGGCTGAGGCCAGGCTCTGACACCAAGCAGCCCATTTTGCTGTCAGTGATTTATACTACAGGTTCAACGGCAAGGTTTCCACTACAAGGTTTCCTTGTCTGCTCCGCTCCTGAGGCGTCCTTTAGCAGCCAAAGTCAGTGATGCTGAGTGGCTGAAAGAGTCTAGTTCTCCGTGGGAGAAGGCTGCCCTCATCTCACACAGGAGGACTCAGTCCAGCTGCCACAGGGGCCTCTGGGTCACTGGGCTTTTCTGACGCCAAGATTTAGTGCATCTGTCCTCCCTTCTTTTCCAGGGGTTTAATGGGGATCAGTAAATTTAGATACTCTCCTCGATCATTTCTAAGTAACAGCATGGCTTTTGCTAAGTTACTTAAATATCCTATAAATATCTTCATCTCTGCATTAAGTGCAGGAATAAGCTCCATTCTACCATTCATCATTGCTACATTTGAGGACCCCAAAATCTTAATCATTATGTGACTTTTTTTTAAATTAAAGTCGTGTTAGTTAAGGTTTTATACCTGTCTAAATGATTAAAATAAGTATATCCCTTTTCTCATCCTTTGGGGGCAAATGGACTTCAGAATTTGAGCATTATTTTATGCAAAAAATATGCAATAATGATATGATGAAATAAAAGAAAAAATTCACCTCCAAGGTATGAGTTCTTTTACCTACTTACATTTAATTTCTTCTTCTACACTTAAGCCACCCCTGGCTTTTAGAACTATCCCTCCCCAGTGTTTCTGATCTATGTCCTCAAATCCCTTCAGGTACCTTGGTCAGGGACATTACTTCTAACTCAGGCTGAAGAAGTGGAGCTGAATACTGATGAGACTTTATAACAAAGCATATTAAAATAAGTTCTTCAATTGTTTTTCTTATTCAATCTGTACATATAAAATTCTCCCTTTAAAGTATGAGGACTTTCTTCATTCAAAAGAAATGCCAGGGTTTGGTGACAACCTCAGATGAGTAAAGGTGAGGGCCGTTTTCTCTTTCCTCATATTCGAAGATGATGCAGCAATACCAAACTCAGTACCTACCATTGCCAGACAAAGTGATTCCAGTCTTTGCATCCTCATCATAAGGGAAGTAAATGCTGCAGTCCGCACCTGTCCAGTGCCTGTTACATACACACGTCAGCTCGTTACTGCAGAACTGAAATCCAGAATTAAGGTGTACATTAGTTCTCTGGACCAGGGGTATGAGGAATAAACATTAATTTTTAATTGGAATGATATCAACATAACATTTTAGAATTTCTTTTTGGGGGGGCGGGAATTGAAGCAGGGTCTCACTATGTAGCCCAGGCTGGCCTAGAACTTATGGCAATCCTTTTGCCTGAGCCTCCCAAGCGCTAGGATTATAGGTGTGCGCTGCCACACCTGGCATATTTTAGAATTTCTGAAATTGAGAAAAGAATGAGAAGGAGCACAGATTTTCTAAGAATTCCTCCATGAATGTAGTTTTTTTAAAAAAATCAAATTACTTTTCCTTCTTTTAGTTCAACAATTGTTAAGTGCTTGGAATTTGATGATACCGGAAAAGTTATTGGTGTTTTCTTCCTAACACTAATTATTTTATTTCTCACTTTATTACCTAAAAAAAATATTTTCTAGGGACCAACAGTTGATCCACAGGGAACAATGAAATTTAACAGAGGAATTAATCTATGTCTAAAAAACATCAGTGCAGCCGGGGATTTAGCTCAGTGGTTCCACTGCCTGCCTCACAAGTGCGAGGTCCCAAGTTTGACTCCGGTATCAAAAAAACCACCAAAAAACAGTGCAATTATTGTTTTGGCTTTTATTGCTTTAAATGTTATGACAGAGATTTAAAAATTAAGCATAAACAGCATTATCTGTCATTTATCCAATACAAAGCCTTTCCTTCCTCCCAAAGAAAGGTTCTCTTTCAGTTTGTTTTCTGAGATGGGATCATGCTTTGTTACCCAGGTCGGCCATGGAATCCTGGGCTCAAGCAATTGGCCTGTCTCAGCTTCCTGAGTAGGTGAGACTACAGCTACACACCTAGTAAAAGAAAGGTTCTTTTTTTTTGGTACCAGGAATCAAACTTGGAACCTTGTGGTTGCGAGGCAGGCGGTGGAACCACTGAGCTAAATCCCCAGCCCCTTATAAAGAAAGGTTCTTTACCCTCAATTTTTATTAAGATTTTAAGAAAGACAATGAGAAAAGGAAAATCCAAAAAGAAATGGGAAAGCCTGCTGTTTCTCGGTGGCTGAGAAGAGAGACTCACAAGGTGATGCTCCTGGCCTCTCCACCCACCGCCCCGCCCGCCCCGCCCCCCCAACTGACGGGAACTAAGAACTCCCACAAATAAAACACAGGAAAAATCTCATAGAATGACACCAAATTCCTTCAAGTTATCAGAAAACAATCTCTCTTTACTTATCAATCTAGGAAACAGAATCTCTGCCTATATCTTATAATTCAAAACAACAAAATGGAGTGAGTTAAATTAGGGTTAAGATCAGCTAAATTCCTTTGAGGCAGATTTTCACTGTGAGGGTGTTTCTGTCTTATCTGATCTAATGTTCTAAATGACAACACACATCCATGTCTAGATGCATCCATAAAATAGCCCCAGCAGGAGCTACCAATTAACAAATATGCAGAAGAAAAAGGTTCAGGCTTAAAGTCAAATGGTCTAGATTTGAATCCCCATTTCACTACTGTCCTATTAGTGAACCTTAATCAGGTCACCGGCTTCTCCAAGCATCAGTTTCCATATCATGTGACCGTACCAGTGATACAGAAACAAGAACAGACCAGCCTGCAGTGATCTAAAGAAACAGCATAGCTAACATTTATTGAATACTATGTCCCATGCATTACTTACAGTGCTTTACAAGTGTTAATTCATGTATTCTTCACAACCATCCTATAAATTAGACCATTATTAACCCCATTTCACAGAGGAATAGACTGAGTCATAAAGAAGCTAAGGAGTTTGCTCGAAGTCATCCAGTTAGAAAGGATCAGAGCTAGGATTCAAAGCCATCTGTCTGCAAGCCCTCTGTGCCTAATTACCAGATGCATACTATGTAAAGAACATTTACTTCCTTGTTTTAATTTTTCTAACATATATAGCATCGAGTGACTATAGGTTAAAATTACATACTCTAGGACACTTCTGTATCATGCACAATTACTGTAAATTATTTGGATCTTATTTACCATCAGATTAGTAAAAGAGCCTTTTACTCTTTTACTAATTTATTAAACCAATCTTTACTGCACACAACTACTTTTGGTCTCTGAATTTTGTATTCAAATTTTCAGATGAATAAAATATGGTAATTCATATTTTAGCCTGAATGGTCAAAAATAATCCCATTAATCTTTTCTCCTCTTCCCCCTCCCCCAATATTTTCCCTAAAATCCTCTTAATGATTAAGGAAAGATTTAGCAGACTCCTTTATAACAGAAGCAGAGCTACTCACTCTATGTCTTTTCTTTTTTGTCACATTAAGAATCCTATGCTTTGTCAAGGAGTGACAGTTACTTCCCTAATAATAAATTCTTGGCATATCTCTCAGGCACATTACATGAACTGGCCAGGATCCCTTACCTCAACTTGGATAATACAACCAGTTTAAGCAAAGAATCTAGAATGAGGATAAAAAGAAAATCATAGAACATGCTAAAAGAGAAAGAACAAGATCTTTTTGTTAGCACAGGTATTCCTAACTAAAAAAGATCTTTAAAATTTACACATGAATCACATTATCTGATATATAAATGAAAGAGTACACTGAAAAAGCTTTCAAATCCCATTCTTCCTATTCATCTGTAGGAAATTTGTTTCCCTAAATTATTCTGCTCTTCTTTCTAACGTTCATCCGCAGCTGGAAGGCACTGGTGTGGCCACAGCTGTTACTATGGTCTGTTCTGATTGATCAGAGCCCAGACCATACCAGTAATTAAATATTGTGACCATCATCCCTCTTTTTTACTCCCTTTTAAAAAGCCCCATTATAGTTTGCTAAAATGTATGTCTTAGTTCACTTGAAGAAAACTGACATTATATTATATGAAACCAGTAACATAAGAAAGGAAGAGAATAACTTGGTTAGAAAGATTACCCATTTTCTTATTCCTGAGCATTGTTAGATCACAAAATAAAATTATTCAAATAGCCATGATCAATTTAGTGTTCACATATCAATCAGAATCATGGATAAACGCATTTTCCATAATTAAGGAAATAAACAGTTTAGCATCATATTTATTTCTATTATATAAAACGGACAGTTCCATATGGCAAGGGACAGAAAGAATACTTACTCCATTTCCCGAACAAACAGTGCCTTCTTTATTGCTTAAGCAAGTACTGAAGTTGAAGGATGCCATCGAAAGACACCTATGTTCCAAGCACATCATTTTGGGACCACAGGGCGTCCCATCTTCCACATAGCCAAGATCAATATCTTCTTCAAGCTTAACATGCCCACCACTGAAAATAGATTAGGCACAAAAAAGAAAATAAGATTCCACTAATTTTCATTCATCTTGATAATATGCCTAAAAACTAGAAAGCAGGCAATCTGTTCTACTTTCTACTTATAATTTAATAAAAGCCAGGAGCATTAAGCATGTTCAACATTTAAGTAGAAAAAACAATGGAATCTTTTGATCTAATTCTTTTCAGAGAAATCAATACAGTTTAGGATTTAAATATAAGGACCTGAATTCAAGTGGTTTTATTATTTTGCCATCACTACTCTGCGTAAGTCCAATGAGCTATTATTACTAGATTTTATTTAACAAGTAGATTTCAGGATTTCACATGTGTTTCAGAAAAGGATGAAAAATAGTTTGGGTTCATATATTCCAAAATCATTAAATATGTACAAATTTTATTTGAGAATGATCATTATTCAATATAGCAAGTTCACAAGTTACACAGAAATAACCAAAAAGAGGCTAAGAATTGAAAATACATAGCCACACTCAATTTTTCATATGTTGCCATGTGAATGTTAGTATTAAAATCCCCATTCTTTTTATTTGTCCCAAAATTATACAGGATGGGCCGGGGATTTAGCTCAGTGGCACCGCACCGGCCTCACAAGCACAAAGTCATGAGTTCGATCCCCAGCACCAAAAATAAATACATAAAAAATTATACAGGCCCATCATTTAAAGAGTCAAATAGACTAATTGGTTTTGTAAATGCAGTAAAGCAGGTATCTCCCCCAATATAGTTCTAGTAGAAAACCACTTTCTACTCTTAACTGATTCTTTTATTTATGTACACTATTTATGTGTTTTTAAATGAGTTTTACTACTATATTTTATTTTCAATTTTAGACATTATCTATTGACTTCCCTGTATGGAAATTGAGAATGTATCTTTTCTTTCCACTATTTATCATAAATTTTATCAATAGTTAAATCAGTAACAAATGTGTACATTATTACAAGTATGTGAATGTTACTCAGTTCTGTGATATAACCCTTTTCCTGTACTATTTTTTGCTTTCTTTTAAGTTACTAAGTCTTTTTTTGCTGTTCCTTTGTCTATTTTTCTAAAAATTTATCATCGCTAACTCAAAGCTAATCCAAACTCCTTGCTGGCTGTCAAACTCTCCATTGAAGATATGTCTGAGTGTCAGTCTACCTTCCTGTGAAAATATCTCCCAGAGTTTCTGACCTGCTCCTGTGTGTTCTGGTTGTCGCCAAGCACCTGAATGAACCTGTAAATCTCAGATTCACCTTACACTATCCATTTTAAGACTGCATTCTCTCCATGGTGGGCATCATGTTTCCTGTTTCCCCTGCCTTTGTCTTCCTTGGCTTATGCCTTCGTTTTGGTGGAGCACAATATCTAGTAGCTTCCTATGAAAGGATATAGGTGCGTAAATTTTGGAGAAACTTGCATAGCAAAAAATTTTTTTTCTTTTTTTTGTTAATCCAACAGCTATAAAATACACTTTTTTTTTCGCAATGGAACTTTCTCCAAAATAAGCCATATTTTAGGCCATAAAGCAAATGTTAAAAATTTTTAAATTTAAAATCACTTCTTGCATCTCTGTCAGACCACAATGGAATGAAACTAGAAAACAAACGCAAGAGAAACTGTAGAAAATATACAAACACATGGAGATTGAACAATGGCACCTTTTTTAAATTAGTACAACCTTGCAATACATAAGGAATATACATTGTGAGTTGGTGCATTATACATGACACCTTAATCCTATGTACTTCCCCTTCCCTTTCCTCCCTTCCTCTTCCTCCATCTCTAGATCCCCTTCTCATCTGCCGCAGGTCTATTTCCCTGTTTCATATCATATCTTTTATTTTGCTCTATTTTGTGTTATCTAACATTTCTTTAACAGACTTTCGTCTGTTTTCTTTATTTCAGCCCCTAACCCCAAACTCCTTTTCTCCCTCTTCCAAAAGTATATGATGTTGCTAATTTCTGAATCTTCTGGAAAGTGATAATGTATATTGGAATGGATCTCAATTTTCTCCAGTACTGACTGAGGAACCTTCTCTTAGTTCTCATAAGTCATGTGCCACACAACCATTTGCTGTATGTTCCAAAATTGTGCTGCTCTTGTCTGCTCTTGCTCTCAATACTTTCCTATGGACATACGAACTCCCAAAAAGTTCTCATCCATTTAGTCATTAAAGTAGGAATTCAGAAGGGAGAAAAAATAGATCCATATGTTTAAATCACTGACTTTACTTAGAAGTAACCTTTATAGAAGTAACCTTAATAGAAGGAAATGTAAGCTAAACAAACCCTATAGGACTTTACCAGCCAACTAAACATACCCCTAGCAACAATATAATATTTCATATTCAACTAAATCTCGCCTTTTATCATTTTCTGTTGGGACTGACTCAGTTATCTCTATGGACTTGATTCCATTTTGCCTTACTAATACACATAAACTGAAAACAGCAGTCCCAAGCTGCATTCTTGGGAAGTAAGATGACTGGTGTTCTCATGAAATGGTTACATAATTACCTGCAGTTTAATGTTTTTCCCTGCTGCACGACTAAAGTGGATGTGATTTCACCATCCAGTTCTCCAAGCCTTGGGATATTGCCAATATTAGTGCATAAAAGGTAGCCACAAAGCACATCCCTGCATTGAAAGAGTACCAATTATTTATGTACTTCTCTTTGCAAAGATATAACAAACCATGTACAGTTGGAATGATAATCTTTTCAAATTTTAGCATTTTTTAATCAACTATATTATTTACTTATATGCCAAGCAAAAAAAAAAAAAAAAGCCCAAATTAGTTTGACTTCTGCTCTGAAAAATCCCAACTGTTTCCTAATATCTTTCCTTTACCATCCGATAGCTCAAGTGTTATGTAAAGAAAATTATCAAATAGATTTTTTTTTTGGTACTGGGGATCGAACTCGGGTCCTCGCACTTGCACCGCAGGTGGCGAAACCACTGAGCTAAATCCCCGGCCCTCAAATAGAATTTCTTATGTCAGAATCTCTTTCCATAAGACATACCATCACATATCATATGATAAACTATTATTTAGTATTTGATAAGTAAATGAGTGACCTTTGGATGAGCATTCTTTTGTAATACAGATGTTTCTGTAACCTGTCTTCCCAGAATCAAAGAAAACATTTTATATTGCACAAGTTTTATAGATTCCCCACCACAAAGGCTTACTACCTTTTTAAAATATTATTTCTCTTACTATCACATGATTCTGTCAATTTAAAGATATTTTCACTGATGTCAAATATTATCTTATATATCCTTTATGTCTAATACATTGCAATTATTGATAAAGAAAATAATAAACATTTTACTAAATATCTTGTGAATATTGATTGGCAGACCAGAAAGATTATATATGAAAAGTGTCAGTTTTCAAATTAATAAAGGAGAAAACTTAGGATCTGTATCACCAATATGAAAAACAATATGTATAAATGAATTCTTTAGAAATAATTTTAAAAATTTTATTATTTTACTATATCATAAGCAAAAGTGCTTTTTAAACAAAGATACTCAAGTTTTAAAAAATTTCATTTATGTGTCTTAACTTTTCTGAGTAATTTTGAATATATAAAGAAAACTGGACATGATCTTTATGCTCAAGGAAATTACGCTCTGGATAAAAAGATAAGTCACATACATAAAAACTATAAAACATGCAGTTGGGAAAAAGGGCCATAAGAATAGCACAGAGGCTTATGGGTGTACAGAAAAGAGGAAGAAGACTTATTTCAAGAGGAAATCAGGAAAAAGAATATAGAGAAAACGTTTTCAAACTGGGCTTTGAAGGATAGATAAATATTTCACTGATGATAGTATGGATGTAAAAACTTCCTAAGGAAGAAACAGGACAAAAAGGCATGAAGGCCACTTGCGATGTATGTATTAGGAACAGTAACATTTGTCAGACTTTGAGGGGAACAGAGAAAATCAAAAATGTAGGTTGGGGCAAATCATAGATGAGGTACAGTGCCAAGATACAATTCCATTTTGTTACATAAGACAGCATTTCTTTTTCTTTTTTTCGATTGTGGTACTGAGGATTGAATGCAGGGCTGCTCCACCACTAAGCTATATCCCCAGTCCCCTTTAGCCCTCTCTCTCTTTTTTTTTTTTTTTTTGCTACCGGGGATCAAACTTGGGACCTTGTACTTGCGAGGCAGACAGTGGAACCACTGAGCTAAATCCCCAGCCCTTTCTTTCTTTCTTTTTTTCTTTCTTTCTCTCTTTTTTAATTTTAGAGGCAGGGTCTCACTAAGTCTCCCAATGGGTGGGATTATAAGCATGCACCACCACACTTAGCTCCACTCTGTTATAGCACAGCCTATCTACAATCAACTTGGGTAAATTAAGTGACTATGCCTCAGTTACCATAAGAATGGGAAGACTGCCAAAAAGAATAAGTAGTGTACCTTGCACAAAACAAGATAGCATTCTTAGCATATAGTGTACACCCAGAAAATACTGGGTATTATTCTCACTAGTAATTAGCTATGTGGAAGTAATGAAATTTGAACAAAGAATTGACATAGCAGTCAGGAGGAAATTATTGTGATGTTCGTATTCTGGAGACTGCTGATATAGGACACTTAAGAGAATGTTATAACAACAGCTGGAGAGTTAATACAGGTCTCAGTTGGAGTAATGCCAAAAGATGGAAATGAAAAAGTGCATTACAAATAAGTGGTGGGGAATCAAAAGGGGAAAATGGCAATGATTCGTTATTTGGTCAACATGAAGAAGAAGGGAAGGGTTAAATTTCACTCCTAGGCTTCTATACGGGGCAGTGAGACCTTGGGATTTTTGGCAAAAATGGAGGTGATCAGACCAGTTAATTCATTCAACAGCACCGAGTATGTATACGGATGGTTTAAATTTTTATTTTTCAGGTTCGGGGAGGTGTCCTCTAGATGAGAAATTTCTGTTGCTGCAAGGATGACATAGTCCTTGGGAGAGAAGTCAGGGTACCATCAAGGTTTGGGAACTCTTCTGATGCCGCAGCCTTGGGAAGAATGCAGTGAGTAGGCAAGAGTGCACTCTGTGGGGTGCAGAGAACAGGAATCCTGTTAGTTGCCTAAGGGACACACTCTGGGCTAACAGCTCCACCTCACCGTTTGTTGCACTGTATCCAAGTGTCTTTGTCTTTCCCACAGTTGCCCTTCTCGGTCCCCTCGATATTCAGCTTCTCATAGCAATATCTGTCTGACGCCATAACCTCTGAAGCAGAACAGAATTGTTTATCAGTGAGGGAGGGAATGCATGAGCTGTTCAAAGTGTCTGTAGCACAGGAAAGCTACAGTCCAAGGACCCTTCCCGTCACAGTGCTATTGAGACCCCAAATAAAAACCGTACCATGACTCAGAAGACTCCTCCCATACCACAAGCGCCCTGCGCTCCGGCACATTTTTTCATGACTCATTTAAAATTTGGAAAACAACAATTTTTAGATCCTTGATGGAACTCAGGCTGCAGATTGCAAGAACACTGCTGAGGAGTTGGTTAATAAGGAAGAGACGGTGCAATCAAATGGCTTCCTAAATAAATACAGGCTTCAAACTCAGTGCCAGATACAAGGCATGAATTTCTTAAGCAACAAAGTTTATGAATCAAAACGGAAATTTTATTAAAATGTGGATGTACTGTAATTAGATTTAAGAAACAGCGGCACAGATTCTACGTTGTTTAATAATTTGTTGGGCCTGGAATTTAGCTCAGTGGTTCTAGCACCTGCCTCACAAGTGCAAGGTCCCAAGTTCGTTCCCTGGTACCAAAAAAAAATAAAGAACCTAATAATTTGTTGTTGTTGTTGAGACAGGGTCTCACTATGCAGTTCAGGCTAACCTTGAATTCACTACGTAGCCCAGGCTGGCCTTGACTTTGCAGCGATCCTCCTGCCTCAGCCTTCTGAGTGCTGGAATTATAGGCGTGTGCCACCACACCTGGCTTTGTTTTCTAATTCTTAACAGCTATCAAAAACAATTTTATTATGCTTTTAATGAGATTCATGTTAAATTCTGAGACAAATAACATTTAAAAATATACCGGCTTCTTTGTCAGGTCTTTATCTTTTCTAAAGTTAAGGTTAGCTGATAGAGTCACCCAAGAATTAGAACAAAATTACTTTCGCAAACTAATCCAATACAACTGTTGGTACAGGTTGAACATCCCTAACAAAAATACGAAATACCCGATGCTGTAAGACTGGCAGCTTTTTGAGTGCCAAACATAACACCACAAGTGGAAAATTCCACTTGCTCTCATGTGATGAGGTACAGGCACCAGATTAGTGGTGGAACATTGGCCTAGCATGCATGAGGCCCTGGGTTTGATCCCTAGAACTCCAAAAACAAAAATAAAAACAGACAAAAACTCATAGCTACATTTAAAATATTGTATAAAAGTATTTTCAGGCTTTGTGCATAAGGAATATGTGAAACAAAATTTGTGTTGATACTTGAATCTCATATGCAAGTCAGCTTATTATCTATCTGTAAATATTCTTAAATCAGAAAAAATCTGAAATCCAAAACATTCTTGAGTACCATGCATTTCAGATAATTGGATACTCAACCTCTGTACATTAAAAACAACAACAGCAATAATTATGGTGGTGTTTTCTTTTCCTATTTCTTACTAAAGAAAGTGGAAGAAACAAAAACTACATCTCTTTGTTCAGAGTATAAACTTGCAAGGCTAAATTTTTTCTTCCTCTCAATATTTCTAGTACCTCATGAGAATGTACACTTTTTCTCAAAGGATGATAGCCTATGACAGTTAAAGATTATCATTTTTTACAGTTTTTTTTTTCCTAATACAAATTGTCTTCTGAAATGGTTTAGGACAACACTACTTCTAAAAGGTAGACCAGTAATACTTGTAGAAAAATACAGATTATACAATGTTTAAATCTAAATTTAAGTAGAATATAATTTAAATAATATGATCTAAGTATGACTGTTACAGATTTTCCTCTGAAACACTGACAAATTCTTTTTTGTCTCTTTTTGTTTTGGGTCTTGCTATGCATTTCAGGCTGTCCTCAAACTCAGCGATCTGCCAGCCTCAGTCTCCCAAGTACTGGATCACAGGTGTCCGCTACCATGCCCAGCCGACACTGACAAATTTTGAGGGAAATAACATTAACTTTCTGATACAGAAGGTCATCCTAGGGAGAGTTTCGATAAGATAGGTGATGAGCAAACTGCAATTCCAGCTAAGAGTGCTGAATCTAAGTCAAGGGTGCCCTGTTCAGGATCTGTGTGCTCCCATCTACTTTATCAGTCTGTTTAAGGGCACTCCGCATAGGCGAGGAAACCCAGTCTGCTCTGTTCTGTAAGCCACGTGTATGTCCTGCCACACCTTCTGCCTCATCTCGGGCCCCACCACCAGGCCCAAAAGTGTGAGGCTTTGCCTTCCTGAAGAAGAAACCTTTCTATAATTTCCAGAAAGATGCTCCTACAACAACCTTCTATAGCCTTGAGAATCTCCCAGTAATAAAGGGGTAAAAAACTTACTTCCAGCTCTCCTGTGCTTATAAAGTTTGCCTGATGTCCTACGTTTTAAAATTACTTACTTTGTCCCCAGATATATTTGCATTGTCTGTCCCTGGTTTTACATCTTCCTCCAAAGCAAATTCCCTAAAACAGAAAAGGGAATTCCTATTAGCAGTGTAATAATACCTGTTTATGTCAGATAGCTGATAAAGAAAATATGACTGGGGAAAGTAATAAACACACATTATAAAGGCAGTTTATCTTCCAAATTGATTATGAAACATTTAAATTGATCTTCCCATTTTGATCAGACTCCAGTGTTTCTGTCACACTGGCGGCACGTGTCAAAACGGTGGGACCTACCTGAGCCCCATCACACTGGTACCCATCCATCTTGTGAACGTTAGGGGCACACTATGAAAAAGGAACAAGAGCAAAATATCAGGCTGAGGACCATCCCTTTTATGTTTTCATTTTTAAAGTCACATCTGATAATACACTTCATCTGTTAAATCATTTACAAATAAAAAGAGTTCAAGGGAGAGCAAGTGCCAGGAGTGGTGGCACATGCCTGCAATACCAGCACTCAGGAGGCTGAGGCAGGAGATTGCCTCCGAGTTCAAGGTCAGCATGAGCTACAGAGTGAGACCCTGTCTCAAAAAAAAGAAAAAAAAGAGCAGGAGGAAATGCAACCATTTGCACTTCTAAAATATGGATCTACCAAAAGCAAACACAGTGGATCACAGAGTAGCAAATGAACACGACTGACTGCGGTAGGCTCAGTAAGCTCAGTGCGTGATCTGTTTAAGGGTAGTGCTTCACGCAGACGCACTGTTCCTCAGAGCAAGGAGGAAGAGGAGGCACAGGACAAAGGCAGGCAGGATGTCCACAGGCTGGAGCAAGAAACGGCTTCCTCTCCTGTGCTGGGAGAAGCAGCATCGCTCTCTCACTCAAATCATGACTGTCAAGAATAAGTCTGCTTTGAGAATTAATCTTAGAAAAACATAGGCTTTATAATCCCATTATTTTTCCTTGAAGCAACTATAAACAATTATAAAGCATTCTTGGGGGGATATAAAACAAATGGTAATTTTACATTTATTATTGTAAGGACAGAAAATATGTAGGTATATAGTCATTTGGGAAAAGTTGGGAGATGTAGAGAGCACATTCTACGGTTTTATTCAATAACACCAGTCCCCCTAAAACAACAGGGTTTCTGTTTTAGTTCTCACTGCCCTGGACATTAACTACAATCACATGAAGCGCAAACTTTCCTACTGGCTCTGAGGTCGCTGATTCTGAGGCCGATAACAGATGCCCATCGCAATCACTGACCCCTCTGGCTCCTTTTATCCTCGTCTGTCAGTGACAAGTCACACACATCCCTCTGTTCCTCAGCTCACTGCAGACAGCACAGTGTGCAGTTCAGTCCCTTCTATCTCCTGGAGATATCACATGGTATTTTATAAAAACCACTGAAAGAAGGTACTGGCCAACAAAGACAAAAATGCAATATAGAAACGAAAGCGGTGATGCCAGCAGTGAAATTCAAATTGAATGTAAACAGAGTTGATAAAAACATGAAGCCAACTATGGGGATGCTGACATTCCTGGCCAGGAAGCTCCAGAGAGGCAACCGGAGGGGCTGGGCAAAGGAGGGCTCACTGGCATAATGCATGGAGTGGGTGAGACACAACAAGGACGTCCCGGAGGCAGTGACGCAGACCAGACACCTCACATGCAGCTTCACACCCCTTCAGCACCTCACAACCCAGAAAGACGAGGACAAGATGCTGACTGCTGACCAAACTCAGGAGCAAGACAACACATGAAAGCACAGAACAGCGCTCAGTCTCACACCATGAGGCTCACAACCAGAGGCAAGCAGAGTTCAAACTACTCAAAAGACTTTCCAAAAAAATATTTTTTATTGTTTCCTTTTAGGATGTTAAGTATTTTTTCATTTCCCTATGCGTTAAAAAACAATGAGAGATTTTAATAGTTTGATGCATTTTTATGTCATTTTGTTTTGCAACTGTCTCACTATGTAGTTCAGCCTGGTTTTGAATCAAGGCGATCCTCCTGTCCCAGCCTCCCCAGTGCTGGAATTACTGGCATGCGCTACCACACCCGGCCTTGATGCATGTTTTACAGATCATAGATCAACCATAATATTTTCCACTGATTTTTTTTTTTTTTGCTTGGTTTGGGTTTTTTGTTTTTTTGAGACAAAGAGTCTTGCTATGTAGTTCAGGGGGCAGTGAACTCAGGCTATGTTGTACAGTTTCAGCTTGCATGGCCACTTTTATAGTCCAGCACTACTGTGCAAAGGGAGGACGAAACATTTTGAAATCCTCATCAGTTTCCAGTTTCCCCAGTGTGTCTATCTACAACTACATATTATCAATTCCAAGGACAGCTATAAACTCTAGAAGTGATGCGACTGGCTTGGAAAGGGAAAGGGCATGGCCCTCTTAGAGCTCCTGTCTGAGCTAGCTGAGTCTTTTGCTTTTCCTAAATAGATAAAAATAAAATGCCTCTTACTATGAATTTAAAACCAATATCAGAATACTTAAGGCATGCATGTAGTTTTAGGCTAATTTAATATTAAGACAAAATAATGCTGAACATTGATTACTGAGTCTTAAAATCCTGAGAAATAAAGAAAGATGACATGAAAGAGATACATACACATCCTGTCCACTGCACGTCAGGGGGCAGTCAGAGAGCTAAAGATACCCCCACTTTTTCCTCTAGGGTTTAAGGAAATTGTTTTGTGAATTACCTGGCTTGAATTTCCTGAGCAGGTTTCACGAATATCACAATCATTCACTGCTTCTCGGCACACCATCCCCATAGGCTGAAACTAAAATGAAGAAAAATCGATGTGTAAAACAAAAACTCTCACAGTATCATCTTTAAAAAGAAAATAAAGATTGCTTGGCTAGGAATACCTTAAACTATTTTAAGATGATAGTCAGGGAAACCACGGTTTTTGAATACAAACCTATTTTAAATAGATTTAAGAGACAGTTTCTTGTGTATGGAGTAACTTCTGTGGTCATCACACATAAACCTTACAATATTCTGCTAAAACAGCATACTGCTTGATGGTACATCTCCATTAAGAATGACAAAATAGTTCTACTTCTAGTAATTTCTCCTGCCAAGTAGCATTTAGATTTAGGCTTTAACCTTCATTCTTATTGACACTTCAATCACATAATTCTCTTTTATTCTCTGTTTCTGTCTCTGTCTCTCTGGCCTTATCTGCCAATAATTTAGCTGAATCACAGAACTTTAACTTTTCAGCAAAGCTATTTCCTCCCAACCTACCTACCTAATCTTTACATAGATTTAAATCCTGGCTATTTACTCTTTTTCAGTGTCTATTTGTACCTATGGGTTTTATGTTTGTTTTTAATCACCTCAAATACTTTTTGTATGTGTGCAGTTCTATAACTTTTCAACCTCACTTCCATTTATAAATTGCAAGAGTGCTCGTTGTCTTACCTGACCTGAGTGAGACCCTCTCAGCAAACATGGAGCCCTCCGCAAACAATAGGAGACCACTAAAGGGCCATGCTGCCCTCAGTAAACAGAATAGATGGCCACAAAGAAATATAGAAGAGGACATGCAATCTTCCTGGCACGGAGAAGTCCAGTATTATCTGCACCCTTCCACTGACCATCCTGGGAACTTTGACCCCAAGCGTTTCACTCCAGATTCCTTAGGATTACAACCCATCCCCAAACTCTATAAAAACTGAACTTCTCCATCAATTTTAAAAGATAGTTTTGCAGGGTACATCAATCTGGGTTGGAAGCTGTTTTCCTTTAGGGCTTGAAATACATCACTCCAAACTCTTCTTGCCTTGAGGGTTTGCATGGAGAAGTCTGCTGTGATTCTGATGGGCTTTCCTTTGTATGTGATTTGTTTCTTTTCTCTCACTGCTTGTAGAATTTTGT